AATCAGTCATTCAATCAACCAAAATGCATCGCAACGAAGCATTGACAGCCCATTAAGTAGTTTGATTGACTTAAATTTATTCAGTGGATTCAATCCTGAGCATGTTCGTACTTTGAATCAAAGCATGAGAACCGGGTTATGTGAGACATTCGATGTGAAGAGTTGTGAGATCTCAAGTATCGGTGACCAGATATCGCGACATGCTTCCAGGAATCGTCGTTTAATCGCTGACGGAGTCAGTGTCAGTGAGCAGTGAGCACACATGCATGATATGACACAAACTACATGTTTGACCCAAACAATCGAACAAAATCGAGAACTCACTAGCATTAATTGTAGGAATCACACCACTTTGTTGATTACAAATGAACAAGTCAGTTGCGTTTGACGTACAGTGTTTTCTACAGTAAAAATTATAAATAAATAAGACACCTTCGGTATGAAATAAAAATCTGTCATTGAAACAAACATGATTTATTATAGGCGAAATGTTTTTTTTCTATGAGCAAACATTTCGCTCTGACAAGCACTTCACGCCTTACTGTTATTGTACTTATTTTATTTGTTGACCAAGGAGTTGTCGCACTAACTTTTTTTTTTTTTTTCTTGGAAATCGTCTCTATTTGAGTCAGCCTTCCCCTCTATGACGTCATCGAGAAAGTCGAAAATGATAGGCAATCGGCAAGAAAAAAAAACGTTAGTGCGACTGTTGTGCGCATATCTGTAATGCCGTGCATATCTGTATTTTTTCGCGGTTTTGCTCAACGTTCACCTCGCATATCTGCATGACTGGTGTGGCATATCTGCACGACTTGTGATATTACTCTCACAGTCATACACATATGCACGCTTATCTGCATGACTTGAGGTAAAGTCCGACTGTGACACCAAACAAGTCACCAAACACCGAACCAATCAGAATGTTTGCAGTCATCAACAACAGTTTGCGTTAGTGCAGCGCCTGATTGTTTGTCGGTTCAAATCATCGAGGATTGTTGAACAATTAGCTGATTGATGCGGTGTTTTGACACTGTTTTCCGCTCGTGAATCATGATTGTTTATCGCACTACATGTACTTGGTTGTCGATTGGTTGATTGATGGGTTGATTGATGGGTTGATTGATTTGATTGGTTCGATACACATGAATATGATTTGAAGTTTGTATAATCGCAGTGATCGATCGCTTTGTTCATACATTGCATTGAGCTATTTATAGAAGTATATGTTTGACCTGTGAACATCTGTTAACGCATGAATGTCACCCGCAAGTGGTCACGTGACCTGTGCAGATATGCACGCAGTTTTTGTGAGCAAAAGTACAGATATGCACGCACTTTACAGATTAGCCAACAACAGAAACCGGTCACAATATGTATGTCGCATGAAGTAGTTGATGGGTTGATAGATCGATGCAGAATTCAATTCTCTACAAGATGGTAATGTTCGTTTGTATGGAAAGTGTCTTTCGCATGTTTGCACCAAAGAAAAGTGTCACAAATGACCTGGACTTTCAATCAAGGCGTTGTATGTCAATGGTGTGCACACAATGACGACTGAATATTTGGATATGGAGATGACTGATATCGATGCAGAATGTTATGCGCTATCCAAATATGATACTGGATACTTACAGTGACATATAGTCTATGTTTGCACCAAAAATAACTATGGGGTTACTAGGAAGTCGATGATTGATTGATTGATGCAATATGCTCACAGCAACAAGTAAATGAGACAATGAAATGTAACTGACATATCATTTCGATGCAGAATTGAGAACTCTATAATGTGGTGGTATCAGGTTGTGTTGAATGTTTGCATCGAAAGCTTGCACCAAAGATAACTCAGCCCGAATTGAACTGTGAATTCTTGGTGTTGATTTTTGGACTGATGCTTGACACTAATCACTTGCAACTTATCGACGCTAAAGGGGGTCATATCGATGTATTATTGCGCGCTGTATGCATATCTGGTATTCATTATGAGTTAAATACAACACCCCAACTTTGCACCAACAATCAATCAGCACATGTTTGAACCTGCCTCTTTGGGATTGGACAATGGATGGGTTGAATGATCAACTGCTAGTACTCAATGATCAGGGATACCAGTATGAATTTGTAGAGAATTGAATTCTCTATTTGTGTGATGTATTGTACAAGATCAAGAATGATTGATCTGATTGCGCACCACGATGGCGTATGTGACGAAAATGTCTAATTGTGCTGTTTTTCTGGTTGGTCGTGTACCGGCCACAATGATCACACATTCATCACAATTGCTCAAGTACACTTGCTTGTCCAGAATTGTATGCAGAATCCAGAAATGATATCTGCAAGCGGATTATTCAACTGATTGATGTTATATATCTGAGTTTGTGAGGCCACATTTGTTCACGTAATGTGGTCATAACAACGTGTATGCGTTGATACCAATGATATCGACTTCAATTGATTGATCGATCACAAGAGCATTGATCAATGCAACACAGCAGTGTATTATGGCACAATGATTGACACATATTGACCATCTTGTATCGCATGGATAGCAGTCAATACGGATTCATCAGCATGATCAGTGTTTCTCGGGGTGAATGGCGTCCATTATTGAATCGACATAATATAATTGAATCCGATGACGTCACCAGCCGGATCACACAAAAGACTGGACTTTGTGCCGATAAAGACGCTTTTTTATTGTTTCTACATAAGACTCAGCTCAACTATGATGTTAGGCAAAATGATAGGTCGACGTGCCACCTTAATAATAAGCCCAACACAACAGAATTTACAGAAACAACAACAAAAAAGCAAAAAATATTCAGTATTGCTCGCTATGCGGGTCGAACGCATGCCACCTTGCGGTGAATCGTGCTTAAAACGATCGCCTTAACCACTCGGCCAAACGAGCTCACGACTTTTCGATTACAAGTTTTATTGATCAGCATTGCTACGACGGCCGCGACTTCCCGATTTTTCGATCTCAAACTTGTACATAAATTGGATACCGG